GTATACCTAAAATGCACCAATAAAAGAATTCAAAAAATAAAAAATAAAAATAAATAAAAATAAAAGTAGCTAGAAACAGAAATGTAAGTCAAATTATCCTTTCCAAATGATACAATTTTATATCTAGAAAACCCTAAAGTCCACCAGAAGTCTCTTACAAGTGACAAATTCAGCAAAGTAGCAGGATATAAAATCAACATATAAAAATCAGTAGCTTTCCATAAAGAACTAGCTGAGAAAGAAATTAAATAAACAATCCCATCTCCACAACCTCCAATAAAATATAATATCTAGGAATAAACCTTAACTAAGGAAGTGAAAGTCCTCTACAACAAAAATCATAAAACATAATTATAAAAGAAACCTAAGACAACACTAGAAAATGGAAAAATCTCTGTCTGTGGATTAGGAGAATTAGTATTATTATTAAAAATGGCTAGGACCGGGGATTTAGCTCAGTGGTGCCACCACCTGCCTCGCAAGCAGAAGGTCCTGAGTTCAATCCCCAGTACAAAAAAAAAAAAGATTGCCAAAAGCAATCTATAGGTTCAAAGCAATCTCTATCAAAATACTGTCATCCTTCACAGAACTAGAAAAAACAACCCTAAAATTCATATAAAAGCATAAAACACTATGAGTAGCCAGAAATCTGAGCAAAAAGAACAATGATGGAGGGATCACAATATCCAATTTCAAAATATATCATCGAGCCATTGTAACAAAAACAGCATGGTATTGATTTAAAAAAAATATGAATACCAAGGAAATAGAGGAACTGTAAATAAACTCACACAGTAATTGTCATGTGATTCACAAGAAAAAAGGTATCAAAACATACGTTGGAGAAAAGAGAAATGATCTAAGGAATTGTGCTGGGAAAACTGAGTATCCACATTTAGATTAAAACTAGATCACACCATCACCCTGTACAAAAACCAACTCAAAGTAGAATCAAGACCTTACTTAGTGTGAGACCTGAAACTCTTCAACTACTAAAGGAAAATATATGGGAAACATTTTAAGATAACGGATGAAAATAAATGTGCTATATGTATATATATGTAATGGAGTATTATTCAGCCATCAAAAAAATCATGTCATTTTGGAAAAATGGATGGCACTGGAGATCACCATGTTACATAAAATAAACGTTTTCTCTCATGTGGAATCTAGAAAATAAGTAGTTTACATGAAAGTAGAGGGAAACTTTCAAAGAGGAAAGGGATCAAAGTGAGGGGGAGGGGAAAGGTAGGCAAGAGAATGTAAGAGCAGAATATATGATCAAAGTTTTTGCATGCATATATGGAAATGTCACAATGAAACCCATGTAATATGCAATAAATGCGTGCTAACAGAAATAAAAATCAGAAATAATAGTCAAATAAAAACATGGATGAATATTGAAAATGTTTTGCTAAGTGTGAAAGAAACTAGACATAGAAGACCATACATTATGATCCCATTTATATAAAATGTCCAGAAGGCAAATACACAGAGACTAAAAATATATTAGTGGTTACCAGGGCCTGGTGAAAAAGAAATAAAGAGGAACTGCTAATGGCCACAAAGTTTATTTTTTGGAGTGAAGAAAATGGTCTGGAATCAGATAGTGATGATGGTTATACATTCTTGAAAATTCAAATACTCCGAATTGTACCAATTAAAAGGATGAACTGGTGAGCTTTATGTCATGTGAATTTTATCTCAAAAATGTGTTAAAAGAGAATGCAAAAAAAAAAGTATGTAGAGGCACAATGCATTATCATCACCATTTGTGGGGGGGAGGGGAGGTGCAGTAAATAAACATCATTACTTACATGTGTAGAATCATTTTGCTAACATACACAGAACACAGGAACTCTTACTATTATTCACCTCTGAGAAGTCAGTGGTAGCCAAAGGACAGAAGTGGGAAAACGATTTTCATTGTTAAACATTTTTGTTCCTTTTTACCATATAAATTTATTATCTATTTTTGAACACAAAACTCAAATTGAAAGTAGCTTTAAAATAGAGGAGTTATAAAGGTTATTTTTAGGAAAATTGGAGAAATTTGAATATGGATAATATGTATTAACACAGCAAAGCCTTGGTTCACAGACTTTTGTTTGCAAACAATTTGGTTCACAAATAGAACCATTTGACAAAATTTTGTTTTTGTTCGCAAATTGCACTGGGTGATAAACACGACTTACAGCCATCTTTCCCAGATAAACATGAACATGGTCATCTTTTCCACAAATGTAGAACAAATTAAGTTCTTGAACTGAGGCAACACTGTATTCTTATATTAATGTTACATTTCTTGAGTGTTATGATGGTTTTGTGGTTATTTGGAGTCCCTTGTTCGTAAGAGAAACATGTCAAAGCATTAAGGATTGAAGTATCATGATATCTGCAATTTACTTTCAAATTGTTGAGGAAAAAAATTTGAGAGAGAACAAAAGCAAGTGTCCCCAAATGCTAACACCATGGGGTCCAGATAAACAGTCTAGAGAGGTTCATTGCTCTATTTTTCAACTTTTCCATTAGTTTTAAACTTTTAAAATTAAACAGTTGGGAAAAGTAAAGCCAGACAAAATCATTCTTTAAGTTATTTATTTCCCAAGACTATTTAAGCAGTATTTAAACATGTTTCCTATACATATGATCATTTTTATACTCACGATGTTACAAATTATAACATAATCAACATTCACGATGAAGTACTTAAGAATCAGACAAAAAAAATTAACTATTGTGTAAAATTTCTAATGCAAACATAAAACAAAAATAAAGGATGTCACTGGCACTGATCTTTAAAATGGATTTCCCTAAATTCTTAATTTCTCCACTTTCCTTCTCCCTAAAAACCCTCCAAATATACATTATACTGTATACCGAAAGTAGAGAACTCTTAAAAAGAAAACAGTTGCATGACATGGTACGTGATGGCCTTTACAGATACAATTTGTTCCTCAGCAAGCTGTAAGCCATTGAAAGAGTAACTCCATATCCAGCAAAAAAGGCCAGGCCCCTGTTTGGCTGGGGAAGGGGCAGCAGATAAGCTATGGTGTGGTAGATCCGTGCTCCGACAAAGATTCTGAAGTGCAGGAGAGCTGTGGAGAGATCTGGACCACTCAGGGAATACAGAAGGCCAATACCAAGAAATGGCACAATATTTTCCAGATCATTCAGGTGGGCTCTGTGGGAAAAGATGACTATTAAAATTTCAAAATCAGTAGAAACAGATTCATCTCCCCTCTTCTCTAAAACTATGTCAATGGATCTTCAAAATGCAAAGTAAGAGCCATTTTTTTCCTCTCTCACTTTTCTTTAAAACATCTCATTATTTTTCTTTTTATTTTTAATGTATGTCAATAAATAATTGAGAAAGTATTTTGGAGTTTCCAGAATATCAAAACGGCACCTATCTAGAAAAACTCACTGTACCTTCTGTAATATGAAATACATGATTGCAATTCAAGATTCTTATAAAAATTCTTTCCAAAGGAAGAAAAGCCTTTCAGTTATCATCTTTGTTAATACTCCCCCTTCACTTCTGCTAGTTTTCAAAATGGTTATTTCTCAAATCCCTGTCCGCTCACCCAAACTGCTAGTCTGCTAAAGTTAATGTACCAAATAAATATCAAAAGCCTCATACGCCAAACAACAGCACATGTAACTAGCCTTCTGAATATGGGTAAAATTGTAGCCATTCTAACTTCAAATCACAAAAGGAATTAAGGTAATTATGATACAGGAAAAGTACAAAGTATACAGAGAATATGGTATGGGGAAAAGAGATTTGTTAAATGTTATCATTATAGAACCACTAGAAGAAAATTAAGTTTCCCTTAACCACATGATTTCTTTTGATTCATGGTGTCTTGAGCTTTCTTGGCTAGGGTTGTGAACAAAAGGCTCATCTATTACTGACTTGAGATTTCTAAAAAGTGCATAATTTTAAAATGTCCACAGAACTTAAAATTGCTTTAGGATCTAGACTCCAAATAGAGATTGTGCTAGTTTGTCAGCTCCTGATACACATTTCAGAATGAAAAATATTTCTGTTATGTTGCTCCCTTCTATTATATATTATGTAACATGTAATTATTACACATTGCCTGCTCAGAGACAGCATTACCTCCCCTCCTCGCCTTTCTCCTGTTTTCCCTAAGATCTCTAACTGTGCCTGACAAAGATGCTCACAAACATGAGGTTATGAAGCAGCAAAAGTAACCTAGATAAGTTAAAGTTTTAACAGATAAAGTTAAAGTTTAAACAGCTACCTGCCCCTGAATAAAAGCAAAGACAGAATGCAATGAGGGGTTTTGTTCCCTCTCTTTCATGAAATAACCCAAGGGCTCCTGGGAATAAGGCAAGGATAGGCAAGAAAGGGAAAGGAGTGTCATTTTCTATTCAAGGACTTGCTTCACCAGTAGCACCAAGGACATTTCTTTCCATCCCTTGAATTCTCCTGTAAGACCAGAGATGTCTTCACCTTCGATTTGGGCTTATTGGTGCTCTTCTTTACATTCTCCAAGCACAGAAACTTTGAGAAAGAAACTACAAAAGAGGGACCCTGTAGGAAGCAATGTCTAGTTCTAAGCCAAACTGACTGTGGGATGGAATGCATATTAAAGCAGAGAAGAAAGTCACAGACAATACTGTAAGGAGAATGTGAGAGTCAACAGAAGGGAGTCAAGAATAAGAAATACTCCTTACTGGATTATCCACTTTTTTCTGGCTTCCTTCTCTCTTTCTTTCTGCTTCCCAATTCTCTCTCTTTTCTCAGCCCACACAAGGTTCCCATAGCTAACACCCCTCATTGTCATAGAAAGGCTTGATTTCCACACACACGCAGAGTGCATGCCAAACTCTGCCCCAGACACACACTTGCCCAGCTCTTCCTAGGGGCACTCACGGCCATTCATCAGCACACCTCAATGGACAGACACCTCCAAAGAGGCAGCTTCCCTCATCTTGGCCTGAGCTGCCCGATCTAGGGCCAGAAAGGCATTAGTCTTCCCAAGTGACTGCTTCCAATAGGGGTCTCTTCTCTGTGAGTCCTGCTTTCCATTTTCCTTTCTCCTTTGGGCAGATGCCCTGTGGAACACACGTGCCCACCAGCTCTGTGCTCATGATACCACCGTCACACTTCATTTTGCAAATCAGAATCACTTGGATCCTGGCCTCCACTGCAGCTGAACTTGAGTTGCTACATGTATTCAAGAATTGTCAAGGGCTGGCCAACTACTAGAGGAGCAAAACTGTACTTCTACTGACTCCCTTGTCTCAGCCAAAACTCTTGCTCCAGCACACAGCAGTGTGCCCAAGGTCCCACAAAAATATTTTCTCAAATTGATGAATTCCTCCTGTTCCTCCTTTAAATCATAATATTCAAGTTCTGCCTTTTTGGAATGTTCCTAAGCCCTCTAGGACCTTGTGTGTGTACCGCCACCTGGTTAAGATCTACTGAAGAATGGCTTCCTGTGATGCTCTAATTAATTACCATATGCACACTGGTCTTGTTTTCATAGAGAACATTATAAAACCCTGAAAGACAGGAGCTCTTTGATAACATCCCAAAAGAAGATATGACCATGATACACAAGAACCTTGCAAGAAATGCTTTGTTCATGCATTGGGGCCAACAAGAAGTCATCCAGTTCAACTCTACCCCATGCATCCATCTCTTCTAGGTCCCCAGAAAGTTCCACTTGGGCTCCATCAACACTCAGTGAAGGGGTCTTCTCATCCTTTGAAGGTAGTGTATCCTATGTCTCCCCTTTCCCCAAATACCAACCCCAAGTTCTTTTGAATGACTTTGTTTCTCTAGCTGCCTTTCAACTTTCATTTATCTTGCAGTATTGAATGAATATGGTCTTGAAGTCTTGGAACAAAATGAAACATGATTAAATAAACAAAAATGGAAAGTACTTTCTAACTATCACTGACTTCTGCCTGCTCAGAACTCTCATAATTGAGTTCATGCCACATATCTTAATATTTCAATATGCATTTCTTTGAGCTTTTAATTAATTGTTCCATCTGTGCATGTATCCATTTTTTTCAATACAGCATCCCTTAAAGCATACCTTTCACTTTATTTGTAGCTCCATTGTTGCCCTTTCACTTTATTTGTGGTCCCTGCCATTGAAATGAGATATAGAGAGGGAGACAGTCTAGGTCAAAAATGGAAAAGGAAGATTATAGAAATCTTTCTCTGAAAGTTATCTCTAAAAATGTGTTGTTATTAGGAACTTTTTTGATGTGGCCAATAAATTTTGAAAAACTATTGCTGGAAACTGGACACCTTGCACTTCTAGAAGACAGCCCCACTTGCCACACTGAGAGACCACTGTCTTGTCACCAGGGGGCGCTGTTCACAAGGTGCTGCACCTCCTCATATAGCCCTTTGACAACTAGGGTCAACTGTTTGTACTAAAATGTAGCCGTGACCTGACTAGAGGATCAACTTAGATTATGGCTTTCTCTTTCAGAAGTATAATCCCATTGGAAGAGGGGATGGGATGAGAGGTTAGAAAGGATACTGGGGAGGAGTCTAATTCCCCAAAATGCCTTTTGTTAAGCTTCCATATATGGGAGTTACTTGTATCTTCCTTTCGAGCTTACTGATGCCAGTGAGGGTCTCACTGCTATCACTCTCCTTTTCCTGGCAATTTTCTGAGTACTAAATAGGGCCATGATTAGCATCATGCAGGTAGCTGCCTGCTCTCAAAGGGAAGCACAGAAAGGATGACAACGCTTCAAATTGTTTATTGACATCAAAGCTTTGCTCATCTTTTCTAATTTGTACTCTTTCCCCTCATAACATAGACAGCTTTTCCTCTGGTACTGTTGAAGATTTTCACATTGGTTCTTTGTTCTGAAACTATTTGACATCCATATTCTTAGTACAATCCACTTTCCAGACTGGCACACTCACACAGGAGGACTGATAAATTAGATAAGGAAATTGAACCAGACACATTAACTCTTCGTTATAAGTATCCAACACAGATTTCCTCTTAGACAAAAAAAAATATATATATATATATATATTGCTTGATAAAGAGCTTGGGGGTAAACCCATTTTGCATAAGCAAGAAGTAAATTTAATTTCAGTGCTGAAGAGGCAGTAGAGTACATGGGCAAGAGAGGAATCTCCAAATGGTGTAATCCTGGATGCTACTAGAGGTACAGAAGGTATGGAGCAAATTCCTCAGAGGATGCTGATGGGAATGGGCAGATCCAGAGGTCTAGCATATAACTTCAAACATTTGTGTTGCCACGGTGTAAACTCCTCTGCACTTCAACTCAGTCAACTCCTTTTTCTTTGGTACCGAGGATCGAACTCGGAACCTTGCACTTGCGAGGCAGACAACAGAACCACTAAGCTAAATCCCCGGCCCATGCCAAGTCCATTTTTATCCACATCGTTTCACTTGAGTTATTGAGGGAAATGAGGGAAGCGCTAAGTCTCCATGGAGCATAACAAAATGTAGACTACAGAGACATGCACACAGGCATGGACCTCGAGACAGAGTTGATCCTGGAATCATTTACCTTGTACCATAAAGGAATCTGCATCAAGGCTGGAAGGGCCTGCACTTTCACAGCCACAACGCAAATATAATCTGGAGATTCTGGCTGATTACCTCCACTACAGAAATGAAGTTCCTTTCTCTTAGTCTCAGTTTCACTATTCAGAACGGTACCACAGTTTGAATTAGCATTAGAAGATAACAGATGAGAAGACGATACACAACTGTGGTATTTCATATGTTAGAAAAAAGTGACTAATGGACTGGCAGTAAAATTTCATTAAAAAAATTGTTTGCACATTGTATGACTTTATGACAAAGATTAAGAAAAAGACCTCCAGAACTGGAATTTATGGTGGTTTAAAGCAAGCATACTAACTATATTGTTAGAAGACTATATCTTGGCTTATTGATTTTCATTGTCTATTGAATTTCCAGAATATTAAACATAGTATCTACAAAACAGAGACACAGAGAGAAGAGATTTGCTTATTTCCCTAAACATGGTCAACTTTCATATTTTGAATCTTTTGCAAGAACATCAAATTCTTCAACCTCTTACATGAGTGGAAAGTCTTACCTCTGGGGAAAAAACCTGCAAAAATCTTCTGACTCCAATTTATCCAAACCTGTCTGTCCTTAATGTTGCTTTTTTCCTATATAAATCATATTTATCAACCCCAAGAATGCTCATAGAGAAGTGTAACATAATTGGCCACAAGTGTAACAGCAATGATACTTGGAGACTTCCAGATTCCTAATTTTCTGTGATTATTATATGGAACAGGTAAGATGACTAACTTCTTTCCTTCTTCTCCAAACTCCAGCCTCTTTACTAAAGCCCTTGGCCAAAAGTGAAGCAAGTGATTTCCAGAGACAGTGGCTCACCTTCGTACGCGCTCCACACTCTCATCTGTTCGAAGATATTTCTTGGCATTCTCTCCTTTGCCAAAGCTTGCACAGTCTTCTGGGTTGGCAAAAACCTATTCCATAGGGCAGAAAAAATTCATTCCAAATGCTAAATAATGTGGGGTATTCTACCTGATTATGTCTTCTGCATTGCAATGAAAGAAATACAGACATCCAAGCTGGCTTTTATGGAAAGAAAATGAGAACAATAAATCAAACATAGGACAAAGAGCACCCTGGGTCAACCTGCAACCTTATTAACAGTGCAAAAAATGTTTAAAAAGAGGAATTTAAGTAAAAACCAGCTCTGAAAAAAATAGTGCAAAGGAAGCAATGATGCAAAATGGGCCTAATTCTAAGACATCAATGATTGTTAAGATGGTGACATCTTTTCACAGAGATGTTGACACACCGTTCCTCAAGCTCATTAACATTTCCCAGTGATGGGCTCTGATCTAAAATTAATACATTAACTTCCCAAAATGTAAAAGAACAGGGAAGAAGCATAAAAGGGTGAGGGATGGGAAAGTTGCTCAGCGCTTTGTTAAGACACAGATACTCCTTTCCTTTTTCTGAACTGAATAAAATTTTGAGTTGAATAATACAGTGAAATTGAAGAAGCTGAACTGCATTACTGTGAATAACAAGTCCGTGTTCTAGGGCATGTGTTCATGTATTCCTTCCTGCAATAATTATGCTGTTTGAAATGATTTCCTATCCCTTGAAAGTTGAAATGTCCATTTAAAAGTATTTTATGTCCCACCGTTTAATAATTTATAATAAATGGAAAAAAACTATAAAATTAATTTTAATTTAAGCTTGAAAACAACCTCACAAATATTGCAATCTTTTTTCTTAGAATGATATGAACAGTTAATCCAGATAAAGATATTGATGAGAACTGAGGGGCAGAGATGCTCCTTTCCTCTTGGGCTCAGGCCAGGTCCATTGGGTTCGTCACTGGGTCCTCTACGTAAACACCTGGCACACATTAGATGTTCAATATGTGCAGTTTGAGTAAAGAAATGAACTACAATAGAAAGTGTATGCGATTTGGGTTTATACCTGAATGTGAAGCTCACCTCACCCTTTACCAGTATATAACCCTGGGTAACCAGCTGCTGTGAACTCAATGTTTGCGTTCTCACGAAATGCGCGCATGGAAGCCTAAACCCCATGTGGTGACATTTGGAGGTGGGGCCTTGGGAGGTGATAAGTCATCTGGTGGAGCCCTTGTGGATGGGCTTGAAGGAGGGCACAGTCCCTGGCCTAAGGAAATCCATCTTGTCCCTCTCTGAGTCCATTTGCTTCTAATATGTTTTTTCATTTTGAGCCATTCTGCACTGCATTCACCTTGGCTTCCACGAACAGCCTGATCCATACACACCTTTATGACAAGGGACCAAAATTCCCACCATGCGGTGGTGAGCTCTGCATCATAGACCACCCATCGTGAGGTTGCCCTGGGACAATAAGCACAACCCACCCCGGGAGCCTCCTTGCTCCCTTCAAGGGTTAATGGCTTTCCCAGGACCTGGCAGAGCTGGTCCTGAGATAAGGATCAACCAGACCACAGCTGGGGGGGGGGGGTTTACTCACCCAGCCAGTTCTGCAAGCCCCTCAGTCTTGCCAACCTCCTACCCTTGCCTTCGTTTCCCTTTTCTATAAAACCTCAAAGTTCCTGTTGGTTCCTCAAGACCTTTGTCTTTCCCTTCACCGCAACTCATCTCCTTGACTGGCATTTTCAGACAGGTGGATGCACCTGGTCTTTTGGGATCCTCTGTGACAGGGCTTTCACCCGCAAACTCCAGTAACTGAATTAGTGCCCTTATAAAAGGAGACGGGACAAAGGACAAAGACACCCCTCCCCATTACCCCCGTAAGTATGCAATGAAAGGATGCCACGTGCAAAGAAGACCCTAGAATAATGGCACCTTGATCTTGGACTCATCTTCACCCAGAATTATGAGGAATGGATCTTACTTAAGCAACCCAGACTATGGTATTTTATAATAGCAGCCCAAAGTGATGCAAGCAGCTATTGCAGCTCTGTGGATTTCAGTTCCTCTCCATCTGAGAATGCTAACAAGAACACAAAATGGTGCCAGGTCCTAGCACGTGTGAAAACTGTAACAGCTCCTTGCTCTCCACAAATCGGAACTCCTTACTTCTTTTCGTATAAGATTAGGTATATTTCCCTGTTGCCATTCTGCTTCTAGATGAGGGTTTGGACCTGTGGAAGGCACCCAGTTTTGTGTCTGTTGTTACAGTAGGTGGTCCCCTCATGGCCCAGCCACAAGTGTGACTTCCTTTACACCACAGGTGTGTATACTTCCCTTATACCTCAAGGCAGAAGCGAGGAAACACCTTAGAGAGGACTAAACGCCAGATAAAAGTAAAGCTCTAGAGGACAAAAACACAATAGGCACGAAGAGAAAAGTGTGTGGATCCAGAAAGAGGGTGGATATGTACAGATTGCACAAAAAAAATTCTTAAACTTTGTCTAGAAGCCCTGGTCTACCTTCTCCTCCCACCCCACACACACACTGTTCATAAACCCTACTAGAAAGGTATGTGCTTCAAAATCTTTCTACCACTTTGCCCACACCTCCAGGTTTCAAAGTCATTCTTAAAATGCTAGGTAGAAGCATTATCTACTTAAGCAACCAATTTAATGGTCGGCCTATTCCAATCATAAGAGGCTCTATTGTAAGAATAAGGACTTTAACTCCACTTGCTTGTCTTTTTTTTTCTTCCTTTGTTTCTTTCTTTCTTTGTATCTTTTTTTTCTTCTTTTACAATCTTATTCTTTTCTCCCCCACCAAAGTATACCCTTGACTTATAAATAGAGCAGAAAACACCAGTAAAGCCTAATTGACAAAATGAACTCCAAAACCCAGGAAAACCTTTCTATGAAACCTAGTGTGAGTAAAGCCTCAACACACCAAAATCGCATCTATAAGTAGAATGAGAAAAGTTAAAAGCCAAAAAGGAAAAAGAAACAGTAGTTTCTGAGTGAAAGCAATTATCTATAAATTATTACATCCATCTGTATCACATGCTCATTACCTCACTTGCAGCACTGAGCACTATACTTTGGTGTTTGAAAGAAAAAAAGAAACAAAGAAAACTGTTTCCCAGAATTCCAACTCTTAAAAGTCAGAAAACATGGGGCTGGGGATTTAGCTCAGTGGCACTGTGCCTGCCTTGTAAGCATGAGGTCCTGCGTTTGATTCCTAGTACTGGGTTGGGGGGGTGGGCGGGAATCAGAAAACATTACCTCCAAATTGCTTACCTTTTTCGTTATTCTAAAGAATGCAGTTGCAGTACTCATAAACATCATCTTTGAAACAACAATTGTTGCATAGGAGGCAAAGGCCATGAGAACTTTATTATCCATCAGATCAGCCATTTTTTCAGCTTTGGTCTGGAATCTTAAAAAGATTATAGACAAGAAGGAACAAAACAGACATAAATACCCAAAATAATTTGGTGTGCTCATATTGTAGCATTAACCACATTGTTCTTAAAAATATCTTAGGCTAGTTGTGAAAGAAATGATCATTTAGTTTTAAAAATTGCAAAATAAATATTATTTTGTTTTCTCTAGTTCTATATCATAAAGCTTGAAGACATCAAACAGGGATTAAATGAAAACAAGGGGATATTACAAGCAAAGCCAGCCCAAACGTCTTAAAAAGACTAAAATCATGCATCTGCACCAACATGAACCACATATCAAGGGCAAAAGACCAGAGACCACAGGCCTGTCTCTCTAGAAACAAACTATATGCACACCGGTAGCAGTGATGTTTCAGTGGGAATGCCTAAGTTGTAATATACGCCCTTCCTCAGAAGCCTAACTTCACAGCTTTTTGTCATTTCCATTAATAGTTCAAGATCTCAAGCTCTAAGATTTGAATTGTAATCCCACAATTGGGGTATTAACCTCATTACAGGAATTTAGCCTCTCTGAGACTAAATGTCTTCATTTATAAGATAGGAATAGTAATAGTTCCTCACATTGAGTTATTGGTGGATTTAACAAAGAAAACATGTAAAAATATTTTGCCTAGCAGCTGGCCCATGAAAAAGACCCTCAATAAAGTTTATGATGTCCTCATCACGTCATCAGTACCATCAAGATCATGGTGGTCATTAATACAGACATGAGAGCAGAAGAAGCTGGACAATGGAAATGTCTGCTAAGGGACTGACACATGCAGTACTTTCTTGGGAGGAACGCAGGAAGGAGTTAGCTCTATACGATTCTTTATGTCATTTCACATTCCATTGTTCACAACCACCTACAAGCTGTGCGGAATAAATTGCAAGTAACTATCTCAGTCTGGATTTGGCAGTGTAATCGGGAATGTGCTCAGGAGGAAGAGTACTAGTGATATGGGAGAGAGGGGTGGAATTTAGGGTAAGCCTTACAATTTAAACTCCTAACCCTCTCTGGTGGTCATTCTCTGTAACCTCCTCTTGTTCTTTTACCACCCTTGCTTTCTGCTTTTATCACTTCCATGTAACACGCTCCTTTTCTCTCATCCAACTTACACCTACTCAATCTGCTCAGCACATGTGAGTATTGTCTCTCCTTGATGATGTCCATTCCTGCCCTTGGACCTTAACTCTTACCTGAAATCTCAGTAGATTAAAACCTATCAGATTCTGTTCATTCTCCCCATTAACCTATTATATACATGGGGTGGTCAAAAAATACAGTGAATATTTAAATTTTACAAAACATGTTACAGTAATAGACACATTCCCAAGAATAACGAGGTAAAGTGTATTCAAAATAGGGGGGTAGTTTGAGTATTTTGAAGATTGGGAATGTATCTTGTACTACAATAAATTTTTTCTTTAAGCATTCACTGTATTTTTAGATTACCTCTGACTGATCAGAGTTTCGGGCTATTTCTATCAAATAAAAACATTATAGTGGGTCCTTATCCACTTATTTACCGTTTTACCATCACAGGCACTGTGAGAACTGTGGCTCCACCAAAGGCAAAATGTCTGAGAAAGGTAAGTGCTTTAAATTGATTCAGGACATCAAGGCAGCCACAAGAGCACAACTAGACACTCATGAAAAAGGACTTCCAGAACTGCTTCAGAAAGTGGCAATAGCCGGGGAATTTAGCTCAGTGGTTCCACTGCCTGCCTCGCAAGCACAAGGACCTGAGTTCGATCTCCGGTACCAAAACAGAAAAGATACAGAAAGTGGCAACAACAATGGGACAAGTGTGTTACAAGCAAAGGGGAGTATTTTGAGGATTAATGGCAATGTATCTTATACTGAAATACATTTTTACAATTAAAACAGTCGCTGTATTTTGTGATCACACCTTATATACTACATATATTTCTATATTGTTACTAATCAAACTGTCTCAGTGCTGCGGTTGACTGTGATACAAACAACATACAGAAGGATACATATTTAACTTTATAAGAGTTTGCCATGTGTCTAATTATGACTAACTCTTGTGCAACACTTTCATAATCATTGTACTGTAGTTTAATCCTCATAACTACAGAGATATTATGAATCAGAGATGTTAAGTAGCCAAGCTGAGACACAAATGCAAGTCTCTGACCCCACATCCCATATGCTCGATGCTTGCACTGTATGAGCTCCCTCATGAGATGTGCTTCATTCAGCTTTCAACTGCTTCATTCTGCTGAGTTCTGCTTCATCCAAAATTGGCTGAATCCCCACTCTATGGCTGGCCCAGCCGTGCACCCCCTTACATCTACTTTCTTCTTTCTCCTTTCTATTATGCTAGTGAGGCAGGTATTATCATTCCCAATTAAGCAAGCAAAAACTATATAGAGTTGTCCCTCAGTGTCCTGTGGTTCCCCAATCCTCCCATGTGTGCCGGTTTCTGTGAATATCCAAATCCTTTGTCTAAAATGGCATGGTATTTGCATACAATTCATGCACATCCTTCTTAACTTTAAATCATCTCTAGATAACTATAATACTCAATGATGGGACCACTAGGTAAATAGTTCCTATACTGTATTGTTAAGGGAATAGTGACAAGAAAAAACTCTGTACAATGTCAGTACTGACACATTTTTCCTAATATTTTATATATTCTAAGTAAAGAAAAAAAGAATCTCGCATAAGACAGAAAATTAATCCTCCTCCACAAGTTCATAGTCTTGAAAACACTATATGTTGGGTCAGCTCTCAGTGCAAGATAATACTAGTACCATGTAATGTATCTGCTGCTGTTCTAGTACTGAGGGTTTAAGCCATGAACAAACTGCACTATCTTTCAGGGCTCATGCAGACTTAATTTGCTTAATAAAAGATCCCCAAAGCCTATGCAGTTAGAGATCTGAAGAAATATAGCAGGGATACTCATTTTCAAAAAACTAGGAAGTTTATCAAGTAGGAAATTTCCTACTTAATAACTTTAAAACTAAAACGATCTCTGCTATTGTCCCCAGAATAAAATTTATTTAGTGATGGAAGAGAAGTACAGAGTACTTTTCTTTTCTCAGCGAACTTTGACACTGAAAGAGAAAAATGAAAACCTTTTGGATCTGTTAGTGGAAAAAGCACACAAAGATATTAACAGTTGAGCAACAAAGAGTAACAGGAGGATTTTTTTTTTTTTTTTTTTTTTTACAATGGGAACCACACACCAAAGAATGTGGTTGAACTTGTCAAGCTGCAATGGGGGGGAGGGCAACGTGAACCTATGATACCACGCTTTGGGGGTACCATCTCCCCCAATGCAGCAGCCAGGCACTGGGGAGGGGGGGCGCGGGGGCAGGGGACATATGATGTGCAGCAAAGGCAAAAACATTGAAAGTAAGAGTCATTCATCACAGAGTAAGGAGAAGCTGATCTGGACTTTATTTTTTCCAAAGCTGCAGGCTCATGGTAATTTATTTACAAATAAACCCGACCATATTGTGACTAGGCACTGCACTGGAAAGAAAATTACTGAATGCTTTTTGCCAGGAAAGGGCTCCAGGAAGCATAAAACAGTATAGTAGTGGAAAAAGAAAGCGAAAGAGAGAAAGAAAGGGGAAAGTACTGGGTGGCTTGAGTGCTCTTGTAATGAGGTAGAAATGACCCAAGAGCAGCAGAGAAAAACCAGGACACTTGCTTATAAATTATACAAAATAAACGATTACAATGATGAATTTTATTGTACAGTGGTTTGTCCATTGTATTGTGCACTCACTGGCTGGCATCAAAGGGACTATCTCTACTTAGCTGCCCAGATCTCAGGCCTCAGTCCCCTGCTATGCAGCTGACCGCCCTTTGAGAGAACATAGGTTTGATGTTGAGTCCACACAAACTCTGGAAGTGGACTGGACCCTGCGTGATCTCCAGTGTCATTTATAAGCTGCAATTTAACTTTTCTGGGGCCCGGTTACTTTACCTGTAAAATGAGGATAAATCCTACCTACGGGATTCTTCTGAACATTAAGCAATTTAGTGTAAAGTGCTTTAAAAAACACTGAGCCCTTGTAAGGGCTATTATGAGTGTTTGGTAAATAACTCCCTGCCTGGCCCTGCTCCAGGCATGGAGGATACAATTTGTTTCCTTAAAACTTTCATATACTTTGTATCTCCCTTGATCTAAAACACCCTAAAGCAACAGAGCAAGTAATATTTGTCTACACCTTTAATATATCTAGAATACTGAGGTCCAGAGAAGACTGGGCGTTATCATCCAAATTCTCAGTGGAGGATGCGAGACAGGAGACAGGAGGCCGATTCCTCAAAGGTGCTCCCCCTGGACCACCCACCATCAAAGCTAAGCCTGCTCCTAGGCTGGCTTCCTGCAGAGGCCTTTTCTGGTCATATTCCATTTCCACCTCCTTTCGTTTTCCCACAGCCTCGGTTACAGAAGGGTTTTCATCTCCTAGTTGAGCAACTCTTTCAAAACCAGGCTCTTGGTCAAAGAGTGCAAAGTTCTTTTCTTCCAAGAGTTATTTTGTCTTTATCAATATTGTGAAACAGAAAAATCCGGGCACAGAGCCCAAGGCCATGACTCGTCAGTTTTGTACCTTCTGAAACTTAACCCTATACTTGAGATAAAGAAAAATGGCAACTGGTGGCCATGCTGCTTTTGAAGGGATTGTGGTGGCTGCACAGTAGGTACCGTTCGAGGTCTCCCAGCCTCGATGCTGGGGTCCCAGGGGTCTGTGGTGAAGTGAGGCTTCCTGGGGTGGGGGCTGGGGGTCTGTGCTGACCTCCCTTGCAAGCCTCGGGGCTGGATAAACTCCAGGCAAAGTAAAAGCTCTTGGGAAGACTTCACTTGTCTGCCACATTCAAGTGTGGACAGATTGCCATTTTTCAAAAGGACCAAGGGGGTCGGCACACCTAGGTCCTTACTGTGGAAACTGCAGAGGACAACAAACACGATATCGCCCTAACTCCTAGGAGGGCCGGCTTCGGGGAGAGCAAAGAGTGGCCCCGGGCTGGAGTTCACAAAGATTGGGGGGTGGGCATTCTGGCTTCAAGATTATTCCTGGGGTGCTAGGGCAGTTTCCCTCTGGTCTTCCAACGGTGCCTAACAGCCCACTTGGGACTCATTTGCAGAAAATAAATGTGGTGCTCAGACACCGAGGGGCCTTGGGACTGGTAAGGAACGCGAGGGGACCGGGACCGCTCTCCGCCGCTCCGGTCCCACAGCGGCAAGGGCTGAGCCTCTCGCTCCCAAGGAGGAACCGCCCCCCCTCACTCCCTGGACCAGAGGCTTCCTCCAGCCTACTGCGGCGGGTGACGGAGGGGGCCACCCAGGAGGGCCCCCGGGGTTCACCCTCGGTCTCCAGTCGTCCAATCATAACAGGATCTCACAGCAACAGCACAATCTAATCCACGTCCCCTCGCGTTGTTAGCTAACATTGTCGTCACTCTGATCTTTAAACTCATTAATGCTTCTCTTCCCCATCACAGGGAAGAGCAAATTCTCTCAGAAGGGGCAGGCCTGTGGCCCACAGCACCTGCAGGATGCTGCAGCCTCGTTGCTACAAGCAGCAGGCACTATTCACCGCCCCGGAAGATCAAGTCGCACTGTCTCAGGTTTCGTTCTTGGAGCCTGAGAAGCAGGAAGACCTAAGCTACCCAGGAGCAGAAACACAACACAACGGGCTCGCGGAAGCGATCGGCTGAAAGCGAAGGTGTAAACAGCTACAGAGCAAAAATGTTCAGGCTGGCAGTCTCTCCAGACCTACACCCGCCACCAACCTGTGCCCACCGCCCACAGCCTCCCTCCCGGGCACCTACTGAGTCCGGGGCGGAGAAGGAGCAGCCTGCCTCTGGGGCCGGACCCTCGGACGCCGGGACTTTCAGGGCTGGGGCGGGGCGGGGCGCAGGCGCAGCCCCTCTGGCTAATTTATGCTAATTAGCTCGCTACCAGCAGCTCCAGGCCCCGCCCCCAGGTGGCCCCGCCCCGGGTCCCTTTGACCCCTTGAGACTTTGGTCTCCGCTCCGCCCTGGGCGGGGACTTGAACCGGGGTCCTGATTCAGCATTCTCCAACTCGGGCCGCGACAGCATTGTCCAACTTTCCCGGAGGGACAGGGAGGGAGGGTTGATCACCAAAGATCTTCGTACTGGATTTTGAAAGTTTCAACAACAACAAGAACTTTGTGGAAAGTTAGCATAACAGAGTAGAAGTCACCGATGAAGTTTCTTTTTTCTTTAAGAATTTATGTTTTCAGTCTATTATTTCCCTCACAGTAATACATCTCACACTTTCCTCATATTGTTAGAATTTGGGGGGCGGGGGGTCCTAATTTTACCCCTTTTATATTGTAAGGAATACTCCAGGACTATCTTCATGGTCTGTGTTCTACAAAACAAAAACAAACAAAATGAAGGAATTATGTTTGTATCTTTTTGTAAACTATTCACCCATCTCTGTAAACTGCAACCTGGCTATAACACTAACTGGAACAGGAGAGAATTTGAGATGCGATAAACTTGTTCTGGATTCCTGCCAAGAGAATATAGTACTGAAACTATTAAAAACACGTTCACTTATTAGGGAGTGAAACAGCCTAATCCCATGATTATAGAAAAAGTTATAGGACTGCTATTATTTAAATAATTTCATCTGCAGATTGTCAGCTAAACAGTTTTAGCATATTTCTGAAAAGGAGCCCTGAGTCACATAATGATTTAATTATAAAATATGTTCAAACTATTAACTAATCAATAAAGGTGTTACTCTCATAAATCTTAACAATTATTGCCACTATGTGTGCACATATATCATTGATATAGTATCAGCACTTGACTCCAATAAATTTAATTCAGTAAACACTAAGTGAAGGCAAAGTACTTGGTTTGATGCTAAATCTAAAACTCAGAAAAGTAACATCAAGGGCCGGGGATTTAGCTCAGTGGTTTCGCCGCCTGCTGCACAAGAGCAAGCAAGGACCCGAGTTCAATCCCCGGTACCAAAAATTAAATAAAGAAAGAAAAGAAAAGTAACATCAAATAGTTGTCCTCGAGCAATTTACAATATAATAAACGCAAAGGCGAAAATAAAAAGTAAGCTGCCTTTAAACTTGCAGGAAAAAAAAATCTCAATTTAGAAATAGAACTGAGCATGAAGCAGAGCAGTAACAGGAAAAAGGTTGTGAAAGAATCGACACTTTCTATTCATCTCTTTTATAAGCTCTTAGTGAGAAGAGAATTATTCCAGTTGTTTTAGTTTTGGATAAAAGGAAGGATTCAGATTTCCAGCCTTCCTGCTCACCATTTTAATTCTAGCGTAAAATCTTTCAGAGAAACTCAATCCAAGTTTCAAGCCATGTCATTCCCCAGTAAATAGTAAAACAGTTTCAGATGTCCTTGCTTTCAGAGGGGAGAGCAAAGGTCTTTTAGCAAAGAGTAGTTGCCGTGATAAGAGTGGAAGCTGCTGGTTGTAAAGATTGAATCAGAAATATTTGAAGAACAAAGCCTCAGAAATCCAGTCTTTCTGATCTTTAAAAAAAAAAAAAAAAAGACAAAGGAGAAATATCAGAAAAGTTTGCCATCACCTTTGTAAGTGGGTGGAAAACAGGTGCTGCTCACTTTTTCAATTGTCTTGGATCTTTTTTTCCCTAAATTCACAGAATAAGCACCCTGGCAACTTAAGGGTTAAAGCCCTACTTGGAGATTTTAGTAAAAATACAGGAGAATCTATCTTAAGTTTAAGGAAAACAAAACATGAAAAAAGAAGCAACCTTCTAAACATGCAAATGTTATTATAGAATTACAGTAGACCCTTTAAATGGGTGTTAGATTGCTTCGTTCTCTCAAGAACCTCATAAGGGTGTCCTTATTTGTCTTATCTGTACATAGACACAGACCTGGAGAGCTTGAAAGTTCTAACTTCTGAAATAAATTCTGAACCTAATACCTGCAAGAGGCAAAAGGAGTCACAATGAGAACAGACCCCAAAAATGATAAAATTCTTGAAGCTAATGAAAAGAATATGGCACTAATGCCACTCATGACTTAAATACTTCTCCAAAGGCCCGACTTTTAATACTAGCACAATGAAGATTAGGGTTCAGCATGAATTTGGGGGAAATAGACATTCAGGCCATAGCAGAGCCATAAAAGAACTTTCTGGAATGATGCAAGTATTCAGGATATTGGTTACACAGGAGTATGCATTTGTCAAAATTCACTGCCTTGTCCTCTTAACGTGCATTTCACCGTATACAAATTATATCTCTAAAACAAAATTAACTTTAAAAATTCATGGATTTTATGAAAGGTGGAAATAAACTAAGACTAAAATAATTAAAGTAGTGTCACTTCAATATTGAATTGAAAGCACTGGACTAAATAGATCATGGAGGAGAAATGCTAGTTTATGTCTATGTTTCTGCCTCTTCTAAGGAAAAAATAGATATTGTTGTCCATTCCTTTGTTTGTCCCAGAAGGGGGATATTCTGAAATGCACTTGTCTGCCACCAGTTAGGCAAGAAACTACCCCTTTCAGTCACACAGCCAGGTAGCAATATCCTTCTTGTCAGGATTCCCTCTGAAGGTCTCAGGCAACATAGAGACATAATTATCACTTGTGGGATTAATGCTGACCCTTCCAGGATGAACCATTCCACTGACTGGTGTACCCTACAAAGGGCCAGGGAAGGTACCTTTGCCACCTCAGTCCCCAAAATACATATATATCAATTTTTATATAAATTTAATCAACCTGCTTCAGTATAGGTGATGCATTAGTAGCCTGAAAACACTGAATTCATAGAATAAAACCTGAAAATATTTCAAGTTTAGGAGACAGATACTATACACTATTTGCTATCTCTAGAATTGCTTATGTGTCGTTAACATCACACAAGGTTACTGCCTACAATTACTAGACTGTGCTAATAAAAGTTATCAACATTTCTATTATGGAGCCTCTCCTAGAAAGATGACAGCTTTCCATGGGCAGAGAGAAATCACTGGGTAAATCTTTGTCGAATATTTTTTTTTTCCTGCCAAACTTGTTTAAAATTCTTCTTTTTCTCGGTTCTGATTGAGTAACTTTAGATCTCTGCATTATGTTGTGTTTTGCAGGGAGTTATTGACTTGAGCTAGGGAACGGTGAACAGTAATTATTTTGCATGACTAAGCTCTGGTACACCATTGTCAGACAGGCACTTTACAGTAGCACTAGCTTCAAAATTTAGAACAGACTGTCAAACAAGCAAAATGCCTACACCAAAGACTTCTATTTTCAAGCTACAGGCATGAGTTCTATGATGTGCAATAATAGAGTGAATCTCTGTGTTATTGTGAAAGCTCCTGATTTGACAGTCTTGGAAGAGAAAGCCTGTTTTCTTTCTAGAACAGGTTTGCCTGTGGTAGCAACAGTACAAATTTCCAAGCATGGCTGGGGTTTGGCATCAGTGCTGGAAAAGGGTGATATTATAAAATGTTATTAAGAATTGGTTTCATGGTGGGCAGGGAACTTCCCCCGAATGAGAACTTCTGAAATGGTTTGTCTCAGCTGGAAATCTTTCCAGACATTCAATAAAGCTTCTATAGAGTTATCAATTAAAATTTGAGTCCTAGAAACGTGACACATCTAAAACTAGTGTTTGCCAGTATTTTACAAAGCCTAAGATTGGTGTATATTGTGAGAAACATTAATAGTCTGAGAGGTGTATTTTATGTAAGTTAAATGTCTTTTCTCTTTTCAGCATTGCCACATATGGCACACTCAGGAACATGAAGTTAAGTCATTTCTATTCCCAAAGTTGACCTTTTAGCTTTTTAAAATTTTAAGAGTTCAATTTTTTTCTACATGTTTTCCCTTCTGCTAATAATTTGAGCCTTAAGACAAATCTTTAGGAAGTTTTTTTTTTTTTTTTTTGGTACCGGGGATCAAACTTGGGTCCTTACGCTTGCAAGGCAGGTGGCAGAACCACTGAGCTAAATCCCCGGCCCTTTAGGAAGTATTATCTTCCTTGCAGAGAGTGGGAAACTGAAGGATGGAGATTAATTGACCTTGAAATGTCATATGGCAACTCAAAAGTAAAGAGGGTGGAAAACATGGCCGACTGAAAAGTGGTGTTGTAGAATAACCCAGTCCCCGTATCTGAGAAACGGCCCAAGGGTGCTGTGAAGCACCTGGATGAAACATCTGGGACTGTAGAGTGACAGAAGCGTGGTTCTAGGCAGCAGCATCACTGCGATGTGGATCTGAGGACAGGGGCTTTCAAAGTGCTTGGGACAAAAGTGACTCCAATCAAGCTAGAAGGTACCTGGTTTCTTTGCAAGCTAAAAACGAAAGGGTTAGGCACTTTCCTGGTGTCAACATTGGTTACAAAGGTCCACATAGCACTCTGGTGGTTTTGTTTATTTATAATATTTGGGAAACTCTGCAGCGAAAACCTGACTAGGGTTACTCGAGTAATCATCGTGGTTATGATTGAACATGGCTGCGGTCACGTCATGCCGGACCCATACAGGTGGGTGAGATGCAAATGCTGCACCCCACTGATGTCCCTGTCTTTAAATATTAAAATATCTTAAATATGTTAAATGTCATTTTTATTAGACCAGAGAATTGTTCAGATTCTCTAAAATGAATTCACATGAAAGTGTTTATTATTGCTGCTTTACAATCAGAATTTGTAGTAAGCAAAAAGGGAGTTCCGCCTTTTCATTCAGCAGACCACTCCTACGCACTTCATTGTGGTGGCTAACCATGGTGTCAGCTTGAATAAGCAACACCTGACTGATTGGTTTAGCACAGTTCTGGGTGTGTTGGATGATGGACTTAGTGAAGAGAAGGGCCCACCTGGGTGGGTGGGATAAAAAGAGAAAGAAGCAGGAAGTCCCACTTTTGCTTCCTCCAAGGAGCTGCAGTCTTTACCATCGCCTTT